CATTCCCTTTTTAAAAAATCAAAATAAAAAAAAAATAAATTTATTTTTGTGGGTTGTATTTTATGAATAGTTTTTATTATTGAATGTGTTAAAAAAAGTGTGTTTGTGTGTATGTGGAAAGATTGGATTGAGGTGTAAAAAAAAAATAAAAAATTTAAAAAAAAAAAATATGAAAAAAACAATTGTATAAAATGGGTGTGAATGAAGAAGAAAGAATGTGTGCACTTGTGGTGAGTGAGGGGTTATTGAAATAAAAAGTCTATATAGATACACCCCTTCTTTAGTATTTTTTATGTATGTGTGCAGATAGTTAGGTGGGGTTTAAGTTTATTATAATAATGATTATTACCATTATTGTCGTATACATTAATTATATTACTTTATATATATTTTAATTAGTTTATTTAAAACCTTACTAAATTCTATAACCATTAAAAAAATTCACAGTAGGTATAAAAAACAAATTTTATAATATTACTGGGTTGTTAACACCAAAATTTTTTTTTTTTTTTTTTTTTTTCTAAAACTCCTTTCTCAAACATCATCATCATTATTAGCATCATCAATCTTAATTTAATATTTCCCCAATTAATAAAGATAAAAAACTCTTAAATCCAAAATGTTTAACTGACATTATAATGTAATTAATCCAAATTTAAATTTTTGTTTTTATGGTTGTTGTAGTAAAAATAAAATAAAATTATTTCTTTGTTTTGATTATAGTTAAAAATAATAATTTCATTTTGTTTTTTAATTTTTAAGATTTAAAAAAAAAAAGTTATTAAATCTGTTTATCTTTGTGTGTATTTGATTTTTTTATTTACATTTGTGTGTAGTGTGTGGTGAGTTGTGTGTTGTTAAAGTATTATTATTAAAAGCAATACTTACATTAAATGTAAAGCGTATTGGTGAGTGTGTTTATGCATAAATATATATTTTGTCTCAATGGTAATGTATTAGTATACATCTTTATTTATAATTTTATTTATATTTTGTTATTGTCTTATAAGATCTTGATTTTAAGGGTTTAATAAATCTATTTTTAGAGTGATATTTATTATAAAATTTTAATACTAGTAAATAAAAATTAATAAAAGTTAAAATAAAAATAAAAATTACTTTAAATTTAATTACAATAACTTTCGGGATACGAAAACAATAGTTTTCAAATATGAAGTTATTTTATATTTACAATCCAATTTTTTTTTTTTTTTTAGTTTAATGAGTGCGAAAATAATAGATTATGAATATACAACTATTAGTCTAGAGAAAGTATTATAATTGTTTCACAATAGGTTAAATAAGTTTCATTTGCTTTATAATACTGAGATTGATTTTGACCTAGCTCACATACGTTTGCAATAGTTTCTGGGTAAGCAGCATTAAAAGTCGATGGCACTGCTGAAACCAAGCAGTTTGAATTAAATTGAATAGTACTAAGATTTTTAATGAAGGTGTATCAATATTTTATCAAATAGTAAATAATTGGTTTTATGACTATTTAATAAATTTTTAGAAGAAAATAAAATTTTTTTTATGAATTTATTCAAAAACAACCAAAATTTTTTTTTTTTTTTTTTTTTTTTTTTTTTAAAATTTTAAAAAATATGGAAACCTTCAAAAAAAACAATTTACCCAAATTATTTAAATATTATATTAAAAATAAATTAAAAAACCAAACAAGAATATAATAATGCTAATACTGAAATAGAAACAAATAAATATTATAATTCACAGATTTTTTTATTAGTTTTATTTTCTTTTTTATTTGTTGCAAATTAAAAAAAGTTTAACAATGGATTAAACTATCCAATGTCATTTGATATTTTTAAAGACGATTTTTACCAAGGGCATCTGCAGCACCTTCACATGCAAATATGGCATTAGGCTATTAATTTTAAATTTAATAGGTTAGTGGATTTATTTTTTTTAAAAAAAGTGATGATAAATTCAACATACACCCGATATAGTTTCATTATAGAAAACAATTACAATAGATTTCCAAGCTCTGGCTAAAGCAACACCTGTGGCACCCTAATAAAAATAATATTATATAAGTATGATAGTATATAAAAAGAAAAATTTAAAATTTACATTTCTAGTATAGAAACTTCTTGAATCAGCTTTGTATGCAGTGTATCTAATACCATTAACAATAACACCATTTGCTAATGCGATTTTTGGATATCTAAATTGAGAAACAATGGCACCACCCTCACCATCTTTTAAATTAAATCTAGAACCACCAAAAACAAATGTATTACCATCAATAGCATTTATAATTGCAACACCTGTTGCCTTTCCACTACTTAATAATTGATCACATTGTGCTTGATAACTAGTCATTTAAATTTATTTGTTTTTTAATGATTAAAAATTACCCCTCTCTCTTTTTATAATTTATTAAAAAAATAAATAAATTAAATTAAACTAAAATTAAATTAATTAAATTAAATTAAATTAAATTAAATTTAAATTAAATTAAATTAAATTAAATTAAATTAAATTAAATTAAATTAAATTAAATTTAAATTTAATAAAATTTTAAAAGGTTTATGATTTTTACATTTTAATATATTGTGTGATTAATGTTATCAATTGATTTTCTGTAGTATTACCCCTCACCCAAAGGGGTGTATTTATTAAATGTTTTTAAATATATATGAGTGTTGTTATTAACAAAGTATAACCAAAAAATTAATGGGGAACGGTTTATTTAAGAGTTCATTTATTTTTTATTTTTTGTTGATCTTGGAAATATTTTAATTATTAAGGTTTTTATCATTTTTAATTGGTATTTTAAACATAAACAACCCTTTATATTTTTGTTTGTGTAAAGTTTTTTATCGTTTATTTGGTATTTTTTAACACATTAATATTTATATGACAAGACAAAGTGTGAAAAATTATATTAACTCAAATTCAAAAATAAGATGAATATCAATTTGTATTATTATTACATTTTTTATTTAAATCTGATTAATATATTAAAAACAAACAGTTCCAAAAAAATTTTTAAAAAAAAGTTTTACAAGATAAAAATGGAATATTGATAATTTAAATTTTTTTATTATAACAATAAACTTAAATCATAAAAAATAATGGTATTGATTAAGAAATAAATACCATATATTGTGATATTAATATTTTAATTTCCACTACTAATAATTCTATCTATTATTTTTTAAAAAAAAAGAATTGTGTTAGCCAAATAATGTTGTGTTAGGTTATAATTTATGATATTTTTTACTAACCTGCTAAGTTTTCAACAGTTTGATAACCAGTATCCTAAAATAAACAAAATAAGTATAGTGGTTAGTAAATTTGTTTATATAAAAGTTTCAAAAAAAAATTTAATGGTTTCAACTTACAGGGTTCAAACTTCCATTAAAAACACCAATAACAATATATTGACCAGTTTTTACACATGTACAACCTTCAGAGCCCTATAGTTTATCGTTGATATTAGTTTTTGTTTAATAAACAATTATAGAATTAAATATTTACTCTTTTGCCATAAATACTTCTTCCATCATTTCCGATACCCATATATTTAATACCATTGAGAACAATACCATATATAAGAACATCTGAAACACTTTTATATGATGAAATAATTTTTAAACCTTCACCAGCTTTTAAGTTGAAACCTGGGCCAGCTACTGCTCTTACAGCTCCGTCAGTGATACCGATTATAGCACCTGCAGTCATTCCAAGACCGATTAAATAGTCATCAATTAATGCTTGAAAGTTCATTTGTTTATTTTATAAAAATTTATAATATATATAATTTATAATAAAAAAAATTAATTGTTTGATAATTTAGTTAATAAATATGAATGAAAAAAATTTAATTTATATAAAATTTATTTTGAACACTTACAAGAAAAAGTTATCAAAAAAAAATTAAAAACTGTTACACAAAAAAATTAAAGTATTAAAATAGAATAATGTAACCAATCATCAGACCAGATACTATTATGATTTTTTTTTTTAAATTGTTTAACCACTTTTAAAATTTAAATTAATTAATTTCAAAGAAATTAGATTATTTTTTATATCTTTGCAAAAAAAATAAACCAATAAAAAAAAATTATCAATAATTATTAATTTTTCCTTTAAATTTTTTTTTGATAACATTTGCTTTGTGAATGTAAAAACTAAGGTATTGGGAAACAATCAAACAAAATTTTGTGAATGGCAACACATTTTCAGACATATCACAAACAAATAAAAAGGAAGGTTATAATTTGCCATATTTTAAAAAAAAAAAAAAATCTTAAAACGCAAAGATTGTTAACAAAAATATCTTGTTTTTTCCACAAAAAAATAATTTTCAAACCGTTTTTGTTGTTATTATATCAAACTGTAACAATGTGGTAATTAATGGGAACTGTTTATTTATGAGAAACTTTATTTGGTTTTGAAAATGAAGGAATACACATGTTGTTTATTTGTGTTTGAAACATTTCTTTAATGAACAAAAAATAATATAAATGTAAAAAATTTTAAACGGTTTATGAAATTTATATATTTTTTTTATTAACAAAAGTTTGGTGATAAAAATCATTATTTGTACACGCCAAAAGGTTGTCACATAGTGAACTTTCAAAAAAAAAAAAAAATGGGAAATTGGTTTGAGGATATGATTATTAAATGTAAGTATCAAATATCGACAAATACATGCACTCTAATATTATATTTATAAATACTCTATAACTAATATAATTTTATTATTTTTAGTATAAGAGTTTAACAATTTGATTTTATTTATTTAAAAGATTAGTGACCAAAGATATTTTATGATTGGATCAATTGATTGGGTTGATTGCTATTGTTGTGTGGCTATTGAAAAGTAATACTAATAATAATTTTTCCGATAACCTTATAATTTTATCGCCTATGCTCCTTCTTTTTTTTTTTACACAAACTACTTTTGATATTAATGTATTATATTTAATTCTATTGATTATACAATTATCTATATCTATCTATTATTATTATTATTATTATTATTATTATTATTATTATTATGGCTATAGATATTATTTTTTTTTTTTTTTAGTTTTTTTTAAAGTTTTTTTTTTATTTATTTTATTTATTATAACTATTATTAAAATCTTCTTTCACCTTTTTTTGGATAATTCTTTTTATTTGTTTTAAATACTGGAGCTGGTAAAGAAGTATTACCAGTAATAAAAGCCCAACCAACATGTAATGCATTACCGGCCAACTCGAGACCATTACCATTCTTTATAGCATCTTCAGCTTCGGATTTATTTTCGTATTCGATTAATGCATAACCCTTTATAAAACCAGTTCTTCTATCGATATTTAAATGAATGTTTTTAATTTGGCCATACTCTGAAAATAAATCCATAATATCTGGTTCTTGAACTTCTTCTTGAATATTTGATATAAATACAATATAACCTTCAATTGATTTTAATGGTTGTCCATATTCTTCTGAATTTTCTTCGTTATTTTTTAATGAATGAAATTCTCCGCCCTTGCCCGAATATCTTTCGCTATTGTCGACCTCCATTGAATCTACATTATTACCTCCACGTCCTTTTATTTTACTTGGTAATATACCTTTTCTTAAATCTTCTGTATAAATTTTTTCAACTTCTGACATTTTTATATTTATATATATGTATCGAATTAGATATTTTAAATGTAAAACCAAAAATAAATAAATAAATGAAATAAAAAAAAAAAAATTTTAAAATTAAAAAATTCAAAAAAATTCAAAAAAAAAATTAAAATAAAAAAAAATAAAAAAATAAATAAATAAAAATTTTTATTTATTTCGAATAAAGAAAAAAGTATTTCTTTTTGGGAAAGTGATGAATTCAAATGTAAAGAAATAGGTACTATTCTCATTAAAAAATAAAAAAAAACTTTCTTTTAATTTTATTTAATTTTATTTTATTTTTATTTTTTTTACACAGTCATCATTTTTTTTTTCATTTTCATTTTCATTTTTTTTTTTTTACTTTTTTTTTTTTTTTTCATTTTTTTATTTTTTAAGTTTACCCACACACAATATATATATTAATATAAATTATAAAAATTATAATAATTTAATATAAATAGTTATATAGTATAAAAAATGAGTTCAACAAATAGATCACCACCACCTCAATCATCAACCAATAGGACTAATAGTGGACCACCACAACAACCACCTATGTTTAATAAATTTTTAATTTATTCTTGGTTGGTCGCACAATCAGCAACCACATTATTTACATTATCATATTTATTCATAGGAAATCCAAACTTTTATTATAGATCATTACTCGCAGCGGCCATTGCATACATTATACCAATTTTTAAATCAAACGAAGGAAAAAAACCAACTAAAGAGTTAGCAATGCAAATATTGCAAAATGAAAACGCCCAATTAGTTCTTTACTGCATTATTTTTTACTTTTTAGCAACTCCATCATTAATTTATTTAGTACCAAATTTCATATATTCGTTCTATCATCTTTTAAACAAAATCATACCATTAACTGGTAGAGTTCCATTCGTTCAAAGCCTCTTACAGAAATTAAAATCACAACAAGAAAAAGCACGTGGTCTCGCAGTATCACTCGAAATAAACATTTTTATATTTTTAATTATCAGTATTTTCACCACTGGTCTTTACGGTATCATTATCGTTATGGTTTATTTCCGTTATCTTAAAATCCGTTATGTATACAACGCATCCATCAAACAAAGAATAGCCGAACTTGATATGGCAGTCAATCAAATTCAAGCCCATCCAAATTGCCCAGGCTTTATAAGAAATTTAATTCCAAAAATCAGATATTATATTTCAATGTAACACATTTAAATTATTAATAAAATAATTCAAAGAATACAAAAATAGATATACATCATATGATGATTTCAAATAAAAATTTTCAAAATTTTTTCTTTTTTTTTTTAATTTATTTTTTTAATTTTTCAATTTTTTTTATTTTTTATTAATAATTAGGTTTTTTTTTGTTTAATAATAAAAGAACAGTAAATAAATTAATGGATAGTCAGAAAAGCTTAGACGAATTATTTTATAAAGTATGGCACAACCTTGCAATAAGATCAGAGATATTCCGCCAATATCCATTGTTTTATAGTATATCCATATTCAAAAATAGTGAACTGGCAGAATTAAAAAATAAAAGCTATATCTTTAATTTAAAGTATTATTCTTTCGAACCATTATTCAAAAACGATCTTCCACCTTTTATAAATTCACTCACTTTCGAATATCTTTTCAATCAAAAGATATACCCAAATTTATTACCCGCCTCAATTCAAACACTTAGGTTCATGGGAAATTATAATATGGAGCTAGAAATTGGTACAATTCCTCAAAGTGTTATCAATTTAGAATTTGGTTACTTTTTCGATCAATCAATTAATAAAATTGGTTTAATCCCGCCATCAGTAAAAAAATTGATATTTGGAAGTTGTTTTAATCAAAAGATCACAATCGTGGGTGCTATTCCACCATCAGTAGAAGAGTTAAGTTTAGGCACCAATTACAATCACGAATTATCCAAAGGTATAATCCCATCGTCAGTTATTTTTTTGAAACTACCCACAAACTATAGTAAACCCATCAACCAAGGTGACCTACCAGATTCCATTGTAACTTTAGTATTACCAAATGATTATAACCATCCTCTTACATTAGAGATTTTACCAAAATCACTTAAAACCATTAAATACAATAAAGAAACCTATACCCAATTCGAAGACATAGCCCAATTTATTACCAATTTCAATAAATCAACTAAATAAACCAATACCAATAAATTTAGATATTTTATCAACACAGGTTTTTTTTAAAATTTAAAAAAAAAAAATTAATTTTTTAAAAATTTTTATTTTAAATTTTATTTTTATAATTTTTACACCAACAGTTTTTTTTATTTATTTATATTGTTTGTTATAGAATTAAGATGACAACCTTACCTGTATATTTAAGAAAAAAAATATTATTTTTTCTGTGCGACTATATAAATTTTTCATTAGAATACACAGATTCAAATCAAACTAGAGAAGAGTTATTACAGAAAAGGGTTAATAAATTATCACTATCATTAGCACTTGTTTGCAAGGAATGGTTTGATATAATACAGCATAATATATCAGTATCAGAGGGTTTTCAATATAAATATAATTATGTAGATTATAACTATCCACTTTCAAAATATTTATTCAAAGAAATTAATAATAATAATACAGAAAATAATAATAATAAAATAAACTATTCAATTATAAAATCAGAAAACATTAAAATATTAAAAATAACTTATAATAGTTTAACTGGATCAGTTCATTGTAAAGAAAAAACTATATACCCAGACGTTATTGGTAGAGAAATAATAAAGAGTTTACCAAATTTAGAGAAATTAATAATAAAAAGCATTTCTGGGTTATTCATGCAGTGGTCAAACTTATTTTTTATAAATCAATTAAAAATAAATAAATTATTAAATATAAATAATAGTAATAATAATATTGATAACAGTAACAATAATATAAATAATAATAATAATAAAATAGAAATAATAATCCATAATAATGAAATTACCTCAAACACTAAAAATGAAAATATAAATTCTTTAAATTCAAAAACTAATAATGTCCTATCGCTAACTATAAGACCTAGGTCAGAAGAGTCGGTTGTGGTACATTCTATAAAGGTATGGTTTCACAGTTTAAAGGGTCTAAAGCTTGATGAAGATACCCAATTTCCTTTCAGAGAACTAAGTGGTTTTAATCAAGATGATTACGAAACAAACCAACTAAATTTAGAGTATCATCAATATTTACCAAGAAAACAATCAGAGCATTATCAATCGGAAGGAATCAACTATTTAAGAAAAATTGAAGAATATATTTTACCATTTTCATATACATCAATTCAAGATATTTACTATTCTTTAAATTCATCGACCAATATCAAGAGTTTTGAAATATCGATCTGCTTTGATCAACTTGTGTATTTTTTATCGAATAACAGCGAAAGAAAGTCTTTATGGTTAAAAAGTTGCCATTGTAACTCCTTAATCCATTGTGAAAGAATCGGAGATAGCAATATTTCTCAATCCATCTTTAACCACTACTGGTCCTCAATTTGCAGTTTATTAACAGAAAAAAATCAATTAAAAAACTTAACAATTTCAAACTCTAATAAATGCTGCTATAATAGAAATCTTTTTTCACAATCTTTTTTGGAATCTTTCAGTTTAATGGTTTCAAATATTCAAAATCTAGAAAATCTTATAATTTACAATTGTATTGATCCAATATTATCAGAATGTATTTTAAAATATAACTATAATAACCCTTTAAATATTATTTTCGAGTTAAATCAATCTGCCCTGCAGAATTATGAAAAAACTATCGAACAAGTGAAATTAATAATAAGTAATAATAAAAATAAAATAAATAGCTTCAGACTTTGGGCCTTCCAATTATTTCAAAATCCAGAAACACTATTATCTTTTAGTAATAATGAATTTTCATTTATAAAAAAAAAACCTGACCACCAACCAATAAACTCGGTATTCCTATCACCCACAAATGCAACAACATCCTTTTTGAATTCTTTAAGGTTAATATCTGCTGCTAAATCGGAAAATGTAGACAATAGTACCACAAACCAAAGCAATAATACAAAACAAAATAAAAAAAAAAATTTCTTCAAAAAATTTTTCTAATTCTTTACATGTAATGTATTCATATGCATTTTAGAATTAAATGAATATTACAGTTATAATTATATCTCAACTAAATAATATCTTTATATTTTCCTTTATTTTAAATAATTTATTATTTAAAATTAAAAATTAAAAATTAAAAATAAAATAAAAATAAAAAAATTGAAAAATTTTATTTTTTTAGTTTTCAGTTTTCTGTTTTCTGTTTTAGTTTTCACAAACAAATAATTGTATATTTATTTTTTTTTTTTTTTTTTTTTTTTTTTTCCCGCGGGGGAAAAAAGAAGGCTTCGTGATACATACAGAAGGTTTTTTCGGGGGAGCGGACGTGGTTTTTTTATATTAAAATATAAGAAGAAGTAGGGGTTGGGGTAAGGTTGGAATAACCTATCTAGTTTAAGAGTAGTGAGGGTTGGGGTATGGTTGAATCAACCTATCTAGTTTAAGAAGTTTTTTTTTTCTTAGATTTTTGTTCGATAGCAGGTGATTTCGGACTACCTGATTGGTACGTAGTGGATTTGATTGGTGTGGATATTTGGCTAACATTTCGAGTACGGTTACTTTTTGTAGTGGTATTCGTATTTGTTATGGCGGTTTCATTTTTGGAATTTTGTGAAGTTAATCTTGTAAGGATGTTGTTTAGTGCGTTAACCCTGGATGTTCTTAAGGGCTTGTTGGTTGATGATTTATTGTCATCTTGAGGTGATTGGTTTTTTATTTGTTTGTTTGTTTCATCATTAGATATTTCATCATTATCTATTGTGTTAGTTGGATTGTTAGATTCGTTATCAGAAATAGTTTCTTTGTGATCATCATCTTGATCATTAGAGTCGGCACAATCATTTTTGAGTATGGTAATGAGGTTCTCAAATTCTTTATCAGTGTAGATCCCCGACGAGTCTTCATTGATCATTTGATTCATTATGGTAGTGATGGTATCAATTTCTTTATCAGTGGCGGACCCCGAAAAATGTTCATTGATTAATTGATTCATTTTGGTAATGTTGTTATCAACTTCTTTATCAGTGGAGACCCTGGACATATCTTCATTGATTAATTGATTGATTTTGTTGTTAGGATGATTTTTTGATTTTGTTGCAGACTTAATCTTAATACGATAGTATGGTGATTGGAGTAGCTTTGATTTGATTGGGTTATTTTTGCTTTCGATGAGGTGGAAAAAGGAGGTATTGTTTTTGTTGACTTTGATGTGAGAAAGGAAGAAGTCAATTTTTAGGTTAAGTTGTTCTTTTAACACTTTTTCAATGTCTTGATTGGATGAGTTGATATTTCCAATTACCATATGGTAATCGTCGCAGTGTGTGATGAACTTGTTCATCTTGTTGGTGGTATCTCTTTCATTAAGGAGGTTATATAGGTTCTCTTTTGAGAGAGAGATATCTTAAAGATTTTTAATCTTCTATCTTCACTATCTCCAATCTTCACCAATTTGTCTTTCTAATGTCAATTCGTGTGTGATTCGGAAAACCTGCTGTGACTGGGTTTGGAACAGTTAGCTTGATCCCAAATTTTGTAAAATCTCTTGGAAGATTTTTTATTGGGAGAAAAAAGGACTCCCCGTCCGGGAATTGAACCCGGGCCTTTCGCGTGACAGGCGAAAATCCTCACCACTAGACCAACGGGGAAGAGTTACAAAAACTGTAATGAAAAGGTATATGATTATGACTAAGTTACACAACTAAAATACTTAACGAAAATATAATAAACTCTAAAATAAACACTTATGGAGACGCAATAAAATATATTAACACAAACTAAATAATAAACACTAAAACACTTAAATAACTTAAAAACACTTAAAACAATTATGATAACACTGAAATATACTTTATTTATTATTTATCTTTATTACTTGTTTAAACATATATATATATAACTAACTAAAATAAACTAACTAAGAAACTCTAAAATTTTAGACTGAGGACTTGATGTATTTATACTGAATGAGATTAGTTCTAGAAGCTAATTCTTAAGTAGTTGAAATACTGGCATTGGTAGTTATTATTAAAAAGCAGTTACAAAATACTGGAATTTGGCAGTTATTAAAAAGCAGTTATAAAATACATTTTTACTTAAAGATATAGACTGTCGATTCATTACAAAACTATGTAATATAACTGTTGTTATATTTAAGAACTCTAATATAATGAATTAATTACAAAACAAAATGTATTATAAACTAAATGTAATTAATTATAATAATAATAAAACACAAAATAAAGATAAAATAAAATATAATAAAACCAAAATAAATATATAAAAATATTTAAAAATTATATTTTAAAAAATAACTAATCTTTATTAAAACTAAAAATTACTAATTATTATTATTTATAAATTCTATAACTAAACTATTACTTATTACTTTCTCTATATTATTTTCTCTCTTATTCTCTCTGACTAAAAATTATTTTTGAATTTTAATTTATACTGAAAAATATTATTTTAAAAAAATAAAATTAATTTAAAAAAATATTTAATTTTAAAAATGTGTTTACAATTGATGATAAATATAAAATAATAGATGTGTGATTATTTAAATTAAAAATGTGTCTAAATTTTATGATAATTATAAAATAATATATGTTTGTCTTTTTCTAATAAATGTGATATATGTTTATGATTATTATAATAAATTTGATTTGATTTTAGAATTGTTGTTATATCACAACTAAAAAAAATTTTTCTTACCCGGTTTTAGTAAATTCAACAACTGGACTTAAATGAGTTTCAGGTATTTGTACTTTATATTCTTTCATTAACCATACTTTGGGCGTTACTTATATTCAAATAAATCGGAGGTTTAGTATATTATTTTTAATTGTGGTTTTCAAGTCATACATCAAACACTGGGGTTTTTTTCAGGTCACTCATCAATAATTAAAGGTTCAATTTATTATTTTTAATTGGGGTTTTCAGGTCATTCATCAAACATTTGGGGTTCAGTATATACTTTTTAATCGGGCTTTTCGAGACATTCAAACATAGGGGTTCAATATATTATTTTTAATTGGGGTCTTCAAGTCACTCATCATTCATTGGGGTTCAGCATATTCATTTTAATTTTAGTTTTTAAGTCATTAATCAAACATTGGGTTTTTCAAATCATTTATCATAAGTTGTGGTTTAGTTTATTCCCTTTAATTGTGGATTTTCAAGTCATTTATGGTTTTTCAAATCGTTCATCATATTTTGTGGTTTTTTCAAATCGTTCATCATACATTGCGGTTTGGTTCATTCTCTTTAATTGTATGTTTTCATGTCATTTATCAAACATTGGGGTTTTTTTAAGTCACTCACCATTCACTGGGGGTTACTTTATTCTTTTAAATTGTTTTTTTCAGGCCATTCATCATTCATTAGGGTGTATGTACTTTAAAGGTAATTATAAAGTGCATATTTTATAAAAATAATATTATATGTGAATAAAAATGAATACTGATATTCAATATTAATTCTTAATTTTTCAGTTTAAAAACATTATAATATAAATTTAAATAATAATATTAATGATAAAATATAAATAAAAATAATAATCTTAATCATAATAATAATAATAATAATAATAATAATAATAATAATAATAATAATAATAATAATAATAATAATAATAATAATAATCGATAACCTTTATTATAATGTAAATAACTCATCATTCAAAAGACATAAATAATAATAAACAATTATCAACTTTATATAGATATAGTGTAAATAACCATAATATAGAATTAGATATGGATTATAACAAGTGTTTATAGACAATTATCATTGCTGATTACAAAGAGGTACTAACCATCCCGATAAAAATCTGAAGGAAGAAAGGAATGTTGTAATGGTTGTAATGTAAACTTTTTTTTTTTTTTTTTTTTTTTTTTTTTTTTTTTTAAAGTGAAGATGATTCTTAATGATATATTAAGTCATCAGTTTATTGTGTTTGGTATGTGTTTAATGCTTATATGAGTTTTACCACACTGCATACAAGTTGGGCACGGTAACGTCAATTCGTGTGTGATTCGGAATGTAAACGGAGCTATAATCTTAAATACAATTTATAAAAACCATTAATCACAAGGAAGATAACCTATTTATTAAAATTTGCGCATGCTGGGAATCGAACCCAGTTCGCATCCGTGGCAGGGATGCATCATACCACTAGACCACATGCGCCATTTAATGATATTTGATAAAACATACAAAAAAATTTGGCCAAAAAATAAAAAAACCAAATTAAAATATGTTCAAAAATTAAAAAACAAAAATTAAATACAGTTGTACCTTTGCTCTGATCATTCAAAATTTTGAATGGCTACAATAACAAAAATTCGACTTACTTAAAACTCAAAAAACTAATTTAAAAATCAGTAAATATATAAAGGAATTCCAAGGAAATTCTTTGGGTTTAAAATTTTTATTTATTTAAATTTTTTTAATAATTATATTTTTAACTTTATAACACTTCGGTTTGAGAATCTGATTGAAATTGCTCTTGTAGAGGTTGTGTTTGTAATTGTTCTGGTTGTTCTGGTTGTTGTTGTTGCTGTTGTTGATGTTGTTGAGTTGGTACAGATTTAAAAGAAGATTTTATTATATTTGGTTTGGATTTGGGTTTTGATTTTCTAATTGGTTTTTTTCTTTCATTCGAAGAAGATTCATATTCTGAATTTTGTGTGTAATCGCTTTCATCATCTTCTGAACTATAAGCTACATAACTATTAGTGTTACTTGATTCGTAAATATCAGCCTCAGATGACTCATCTGGTTGCCAATCTGATGTTTGAGTTATTAAAGCTCTTGGTGGTGCTGCTGTCAATGGGGAATTCATTACATGACTATTATTAGTAATATTTTGAACTGCTGGTTTATTAGTAGTGGCTGCTGCTACTGTTGTTGTTGCTGATGTTGATGTTGTAATACCACTATTTGAAGTTGTCGAAGAATTTGAATCGGTTCTTGAATGGGTTTTCTTTTCAATAGTAGTGGCAGATAGTGGTGTTACATTCAATGGTGATGAACTAGTATTACTTGGTGTAGTATTACTACTGGATAAGGTAGCTGATGTTTTATTAATATCTGAAAGTGGTGATGGTGGTGGTGGAAGAGATGAAAGGTGTTCTGGTACTGGAACTAATGGACAAGCTATATTTGGAAGTACAACGTCATAGGTTTGTTTAATGGCATATTCAGAAACATAAATATTACTTGAATCGAGTACAGAAGTTTCAAATCTATTTTCAGCCAATTTATCTTGCATTTTTTGGAACAATTGAATGATTTGAGTTCTTTTATCTTTAGATAGAGAACCAAATAATTGAGCAGAGGTAAAGTTTTGAATAATTGTGGATGTGTAAGCTGAAGCTAAAGTTTTTGGGAAAATTAAATGGTTTAAAGTTCTATTGATGTCATAAAGTAATGGCTGTGCTATTGAGGCCCAACCAGAGAGACCAAATTGATTGTTATCTAAATTTAAATACATTATAGTGGCATTACTTCTTAACATTTCACCAATAATACTAGCCATAGTGTCACCCAAACCATTATCAGAGATATCCAATTCTTTTAGTGATTTGTTGTTGACCAAAGCTTCGAGTAATGGAGTTAAACTTTTAGCCAATGGATATCTACCACCAGAGATATTTATAGTACGAATAGTTGGGAAAGTGTTGATTAAATAAGCCAATTGGGTACAAAATTGATCACCTTCTGGACCTTGTGAAAAATAATTATTACCCATATTCAATTCGTGGAGATTGAATTGGTCAATATTTTTAATGGCACCCAAGAGCTCCATAAGTGAACGGCAATTAAGACGATTATGTGAGAGATCAATTGCTTCCAAGTAACGACAACCAGAGATAGATTTTGAAAGAATAGTGGCTTCACGAGCACCCAAAGCGTTGTGTGAGAGATTGATTTGGAAATTACATATCTTTTTATTTCTATTGAATGATATAAAGATATCCTCAAGTGATTCAGCATTGAATGCACAACCACTGAAATTAAGATATTTAAGTGCTGCAACTGAATCAAATACTTCGCTACCTAATAACTTGGATGAGGCTCTATCAATCTTATTCATTGATAAATCCAGATGTGCAACATCGACTACACGTAGTGGTGGACCCATAATTTGGAAATTTAATTGGCAATTTGATAAAATTAAGCACTCTAATGAATGATAACCTTTAATTTTAGCCATCCAACTTGCGATAGATTGTGATCCTAAATCTCCAAATTTATTGTGTGATAAATTTAAATATTTGATTGCCAATGACATACCAAAATTTCTTTCAAATGATTGGAATAAAATAACAATAGATCTATAAATTTTATAATAAATAATAGTGTTAATAATAATAATCCTTTTATAAAATAGTTGAAATATAAATTTGAACTTACTTTGGTAATAATTCACATTTTGATAGATTTAAACTAACTAAACCATGTGAATATTTTGAAAAACAATCACAGAGTGTTGCCATAACTGGGAATGGAATTGAATTTTTTGAAAGATCGATTGATTGAATTGAATTATTTGGATTTTTAATTAAACCATTTGCTAAAGGTTGGAATGATTGTTCTACTCTTAAATTTGATAAATTTAATTTTGTAATTGATTTATTTGTTTCTAATGCCATACCAATTGCATTTGTGACTTTAATTATATTAAAAAAAAAAAAAAATATTAATAAATGTTGGTTTTAATATAGTAGTAAATAAAAATAATGATAATTACTATTTGCATGTGGTAAACATGATAAATTAATTGATTTAAAATAAGTATTATGACGTAAACTAATAATTGCTGTGAATAAATTAAAACTTAATTCTGATGCTGGGTCGATACCTGGGCATTGTGAAAAATCTAATTCATTACAATCTGTTGAATAAAGTGCCTCGATCATTCTAACAAAATCTAATGTGCTAACAGTTTTATAAAAATATGAATGTGCGATATATGTATCTGTAAAACCATGTGCTGCTGACATTATAAGTGGCTCCTCAAACTCGATCATTCTAAAAGAAAAATAAATGTGAAAATAAAAAAATATTAATAATTATTTTTAAAATTATAAATTTATAATATCGGTGATACAAACTTGTTTTCTTGTAAATTAATTTTCATAACAGTTTGTTCAGAAAAACCACAAGTAATTTTTCTATAACTTGTTCTAATCGCTCTAACTAAATGTTGAAGTTTTTCTAATGGACCTTTAATCGAAACGCCCAATGGTTCACCATTTTCGCCGTTATATTTAATTGAAATTGAATCTTCACTCTCTGAACAAATTTCTGAAACATTATATAAATGAAATTCCAACTCGACCTATTATAAAAAAAAAATTAATATATTGGTTATTTGTTTATAAAGAAAAAAAAATCTGATATTGCGCACAGATTCCAACAATTAAAAAAAAAAAAAAAAAAATTCGAAAGTTATCAAATTTTTTTAATTTTTTTTTTTTTTAAAAAATAAAGTGATCGATTTCGTTTAATAACTTACTGATTTACCAAAAGTACCCTTTTTAATTGAAATTAATTTATATTTTCCGACCACAATTAATCTTTTATTAAAACCTGTACCTGCTAATGTTGGTGATTTGTTTGCTTCGACCCAAACTGTATGAGTAATCTGTTCACCAAATATACCACCAACTACACCTAAACTATCTTCAATAAATTCTATTTTATTTTATTTATGTTAATATTAACATATTTAAATTATTATTTATTTATATTATTTAATTATTATAACATTATGCAACAATATGAATATTACTTATCATATTATTAATAATATTACTATTTTAAAATTATTATTTATTTTAAACTAAAAAATGATGATATACTCTTTTCAACTTCTGGCTCTGCCATTTATATTTCTGCTATATATATATATAAATTACCTGATACTAGTATTATAATTATTTAAATTATTTGTAAAAACTATAAGAAAATATTATTTTGTTAAAAATACAATAATGTGGGTGCGTGTTTGTTTATATGATATATAAATTTTTTTATTTTTTATTAAATTTAATTTAATTTAATTTATTTTATTTATTATTTTATTTTTGGTTATAGGAAAAAAAAAAAAAAAAAAAAAATTATAAAATTTTGTTTCTTATTCTTGTTATAGGTAATGAAATTATTATTATTATTATTAAATACACTGATTTTTAATATAAAAAAATCTTATTACAAAAAAAAAAACTTTATAGCGACCAAAAAAAAAATTAAAAATAATTAAAAAAAAAAATATTTAAAAAAAAATTCAAAAAAATAATTTAAAAAAAAAAAAATAATAATTTTTCAAATTTTTTTTCGTTTCTTTTATTTTTTTTAATATTATTTGATATAAATATAGCCACCAATATTTAGTGATATCATCAAACAAAAATAATAGCCAAAAAAAATTAACATTTTATTCTATATATAATTATATAGTTTAAACAATATTAATTTTTAGGGAACAAGATATTTTAATCACACACCCATTCCCGCACTCATAATAATAACCCACACACACATATATATATAAATAATAAATATCTTTATTTATTTACTATACATATATATCATTCAGTTTTTAAATAAAATTTTTATAAAGTTTGGTTTTAAATAATAATAAAAATAATAATAAAAATAGAAATGGCAAGCAAGCAAATTAAAACAGTCATTGAAAATACCTTAGGTGAAAAGGTTAAAGAAATTGATGATACAATCATCGACTACATTGTCGGTGTTTTCCAAGATGACGGTGTTTCAAGTGATATGGATGAAATCATTGAAATCCTTTCACCATTATTAATGGATACCTACGTTGATGATAGCGATCAAGTAAACTCAATCATTACCAAACTTATTGATGGTTTAGTCGATGAAAAATTAATCACCATTAAACAAAAACAATCAATTACTCAATTAGAAAGACCAGTTAGTCTTATTAGGTAAGCAAATATACAATTAAAATTTATAATTTAGCAACTCGTTGATAAATAAAATTAAATTATTACTATTATTATTATTATTATTATTTACTAAATAAAATTTTCTTTTTATTTTAAAAAAAAATTCAGATTGGATGATAGAGTTGATGCTGCAGTTGGTTGGATGAAACCAGATGAGGGTATTTCTATTGTAAACAAAGATCAATTAGAAGCAAATGAAAAACGTTATAATGAAAGAAAAGAAAAACGTCAAGCTAAAGAAGAAAGAAAGAAATTAAGACAAAATGCCGCTTTAGCAGCATTAAATGCATTAAAAGAACAACAAACCATGTTGGCCTCAACCATTCGTGGTACCAATCAATCAAGAGATATTAAAGTTGAATCATTCAATCTTTCATATGGCAAGATGGATTTAATCATCAACTCTGACCTCAGTCTTAACTATGGTCGTAAATATGGTTTAATTGGTCGTAATGGTACAGGTAAAACCACTCTCTTACGTCACATTGCCAGCAGAGAAATTGGTATTGATAATAATCTTTCAATTCTTCACGTCGAACAAGAAGTTTCTGGTAATGATTCAACAGTTATTGAGTGTGTATTGGAAGCCGATGTAGAAAGAGATCGTCTTTTAAAAGAAGAAAAACGTATCAATTCACTCCCAGATAACGAAAGACTCAATCTTTCAAGCAGAATCCAAACTATTTACGAAAGACTCAATGTTATTGATGCCCATACTGCCGAAGCAAGAGCAAGTTCAATTCTTTCAGGTTTAGGTTTTACAGAGGAAATGCAACAAACAGAAACCAAAAACTTTTCTGGTGGTTGGAGAATGAGAGTTTCTTTAGCTCGTGCCCTTTTCATTCAACCAGACGTTTTATTACTCGATGAACCAACCAATCATTTAGATTTATTCGCTTGTTTATGGTTAGAAAGTTATTTGGTAAACTGGAGCCGTACTTTAGTTATTGTATCCCATCAACGTGAATTCCTCAACGCTGTTTGTACCGATATTATGCATTTAAATAACAAAAAGATCGATTACTACAAAGGTAACTACAGTGTCTTTGAAAGAACTCGTTCAGATCGTCTTAAATCACAACAACGTGCTTTCGATGCTCAACAATCACAAAAGAAACATATTCAAGCATTCATCGATCGTTTCCGTTACAACGCCAAGCGTGCTAAAATGGCTCAATCACGTATTAAACAATTAGAGCGTATGGAAGATATCAGTGAAGTTTTAGACGATCCAACTGTTACACTTCAATTCTTAGAGCCAGAACCATTAAATCCACCAATTCTTCAATTCCAAGATGTTTCATTCGGCTATTCACCAGACAAACTTTTATTCAAAAATCTTAATATTGGTATCGATATGAGCAGTCGTGTTGCTTTGGTTGGTGCCAATGGTGCAGGTAAAACTACTCTTTTAAAACTCTTATGTGGTGAATTAAATGAAACCAGTGGTTTAATCATTCGTAATGGTAAATTAAGATTCTCACGTTTCTCCCAACATTTCGTTGATCAATTAGATCTCTCCAAATCACCATTAGACAATTTCCTCACCAAATACCCAGGTACAAATCCACAAACTGCTCGTTCACATTTAGGTAAATTCGGTCTCTCTGGTGATATTGCTTTACGTACTGTAAATACATTATCTGGTGGTCAAAAATCTCGTGTCGTTTTATCTCAAATTGCCTATACCAAACCACATATTTTATTACTCGATGAACCTTCCAATCATTTGGATATCGATACTGTCGATGCTCTTTGTCAAGCTCTTAACGAATTTGAAGGTGGTATTCTTTTAGTTTCTCACGATGAAAGATTAATTTCTTTAGTTTGTGATGAAATTTGGTATTTCGATGGTGAAGAAAATGAACCAAAAGAAGTCAAAAACTTTGATGGTGATTGGGATGATTATAAAAAACAAAGTAAGTTTAACATATTTATATTATACTATAATATAATATACAATTATATATTAACTTTTTTCTATTTTTAAAATTTTAGTTTGGAACCTTTAAAAAAAAAAAAAAACTATTTATTTCTTTTTCTTTTTTTTTTTTTTTAAAAAAAACAACCATTTCAAATGATAATTCATTTTTATCATTAAAATATGTAAAATTTTTATCAATTATTTTTATTTAAAAATAATGATATTGATATATAATATTCATAAAAAATTCAACAACAAAAAAAATAACAGCAACACAATTACAAAAAATATCTTTTAATAATTATTTAATAATTGTTCGGCGTTGAAATAAAATAACTTTAATTAAATGTATTATTACTAGTAAAATAAAAATAAAATTGTATAAAAAAAAAAAACCTTGGTTTTATGTGTGTATATTAAATTTTTATATATTTATTAACCATTCTTTTTAGATGAAACACTTGATGATTTTCCTTTATCTTTTTTCTTACTTATAACCAACTCGGGTGTAGATTCGTTTATCTATGATGATCAAAATTAAATGAAAACAATGTTAATATCTATTTTTAGATTTTATTTTTTTTTTTTTTGGATTTTTTTTTTACAAAAAATAAATTAAACTTACCGAATTTATATATGTTGATGAAGATGTCGAAAAAAGACGATCAGACTCTTTCCATCTTAATTTTTTTAGAGCACCACTACCAGATATATAACTGTCAAAACCTCTAATAACATTACCAATGTGATGTGTATCTTCTAAATATCTGCCCTCTAACGCATAGATTTGTTTTTCCAGTGATGACAATTTACTTTCGATTGATTTTTTTTCCTGTACCAAATCTTCAATTTCGACTATAATCTCTGCCTTTGTTTTTCTTTTATTTGGATTGGTAGTTGTGGTGGTTGTGGTGTTGTTTGTTGCGCTACTACCACGACTATCTTCTTTTTCTTTTTCTTTTTCTTTTTCCTTTGCTATTTCTTTCTCTTTTTCTTTTTCTTTATCTTTATCTTTATCTTTTTCCTTATCTTTATCCTTTTCTTTGTCATTTTCTTTATCATTATCCTTGTCCTTGTCCTTTTCTTTCTCTTTTTCTTTATTTGTTGTGTCCTTGTCCTTTTCTTTTTCTTTTTCTTTTTCTTTGTTTGTTGTGTCATCATTTAAATTTTGATCTCCACTTATATTTATATCCTCCATTTCCTTGTCACCATCTGTAGTATCTTTATCTGTAGTCTCACCCCCATTTCCTGGATTAATATCTAATTCTTTTGTATTTTCACTCATATTTTTAGTTTTTGTAGATCTGTTTTATTAAATTTAATTTAAAAAAAAAAAAATTTTAAAAAATTTTAAAAAAAAATTGAAAAATTTAAAAAAAAAAATAAATAAAATGCAACAGACAAATTTTAAAAAATTAAATTTTAATTTATTTATTTAATTAAATTAATGAAATTAAATTGATTTTATCTATAATTTATTAACTATTTATTTATATTAACCGATTGTTTTTTATGAAAAAATGAAAATTCGGTTAATTCTAAATCCACTGAAATTTCGGATATAAAACTATCTAATTGGATGTACATTTTATAAAGATCGTATCTGCTTTTTGTAGATTTCATTGCATCTATAAATACCTTAGCAGCTTGAAAATATTTTTTTTGTAATTCTCTTCTGTCTATCATTTTAACCAAATTTAAACAACAACCATAGTACAGTTCGAATTCGTCGCTACATAAACTGAATCTGTGTGTTTCAAAACATGATTCAACCAATTCTGAAAGATTGTCACATTTATAATTATTTGGCATAATAATATTATTGTCTATATTATTTTCGGCATTACTATCTATATTATTTTCTACATTATTACTGTTATTATTGTCGATATTGTTATCGCCATTTATATTTTTTATATTTTTATCTATATTATGTTCTTTATTGTTATTTTTATTTTTAATTTTACTGTCATTGATATCATCATCTGCATTAACAACACTATGATTACTTTGAATTAAATTGTTAAATTTCGAATCTTTTTTTTCTGTACCATTATCTAAAACTGTATCTGAATATTGAATACTTTCCATACTACATAATATAACCTGTATATTTAAAAAAATAATTTATTATAATTTCTTTAAAATAATAATAAAAAAAAAAAAAAAATATTACATTAGAAATTAACAAAACTAAAAAAACAAGTAAACATTTCCTCTTCATTATTTTTAAATCTCCTAATTATTTAAAACTATATTTTTTTGATATAAATATATGATAAATAAATTAAATTTTAAATAATTAAAAAATTTAAAAATAAAAAAAAAAAAAAAAGTAAGAAAAAAATATTTGAAAAAATGTGGTATTATATATATTTGGGGTATGAATATCTTATAGATGGGGGTATTATTATGATAACTTTTTTTAAAAAAAAAAAAATATTCTTTCTTTTGTTTTTGTAATATCACTATTTTTATATATTAAAAATTTTCGAAATTAATAATTTAATAGTTTTTTTCATAATAATAATAAATATGCCAATATAAAATAATAAATATAAATTTTCAACTTTTACTAAAATAAATTGTGAAAAAATTAAATAAAATTAAAAAAAAAAAAAAGCGACAAAACGTATCGTTAAAAAAAAAAAAATTTTAAAAAAATTAAAAATTCATGCATAAATTTTTATATGAAGGCTCAGCGGTCTCAGCAAAATTTTTTTTTTCGACTTTTTTTCTGTTAGTTAACAATTTTAGTGTTCGTATGTAATTGGATATCATTATATATATATTTATCTGTTAGTGTTTATCTCTATCATTAATCCCAAATCAATCATCTTATCCTCAATGGATAAGTTGATATCCACCATCTATCTTCAGATACTTTAACATATCACTCATATTACTCATATCACTATCACTCATATTACTCATATCACTCATATCACTCATCTATCTCATACATACTACATATCACTTTCATCCATCACCCCCCACCTATCACAAACCTATGAATAGCAGGATTAATACTAATTTATCTTTTTCAATAGAAAAATGACCAAGCCAGTTTACTCAAAAACTCCATCAAACCCAGAAAAATCTGTTAAAACCAGAGGTAGCAATTTAAGAATTCACTTCAAAGTAATTATCAACAACATGGATATGTGGATTGTGGATTGATTATTGGATAAAGAGGATTTTATTTAAAACAAGCATTCATTCATAGACAAAATATTAATTAGAATATTTAATTATAATTAAAATTAATAGAACACCCGTGAAGCTGCCATGGTTCTTAAAGGTATGTTATTAACCAGAGCTAAATCATACTTAGCCAACGTTTTAGCCCACAGAGAATGTGTTCCATTCCGTAGATTCCACGGTGGTGTCGGTCGTACTGCTCAAGCTAAAGTTTTCGGTACCACTCAAGGTAGATGGCCAAAGAAATCTGTTGAACACCTCCAATCATTACTCCAAAACGCTGAAGCCAACGCTGAAGCTAAAGGTTTAAATGTTGAAAAACTCAGAATCGCCCACGTTCAAGTTCAACGTGCTCAACAACAACGTAGAAGAACCTACAGAGCTCACGGTAGAATCAACCCATACATGTGCTCACCATCAACTGTCGAATTCATCCTCACTGAAGTTGAAAAAGCCGTCCCAAAACCAGCTGAAGAAAAAGCTGTTGCCACCGCTTAAATAAAATTTAATATAATATTATAAAAAATATATTTTTTTTTTATTTCCCCACAAATTTTTATTTTTCAATTTATTTTAGATTATTAGGTAATTTTAGAAATGTAAAAAAAAAATAACAGGTTTTTAAAGGATAATGGATTTTTTAAATAATACAGATATCACAAACAATTAAAAAAATAAAATTTATATGGAAAAAAAAAAGGAAAAATTACATATGTCATAATTCTCCATTTTATTGATATTTATAAAAATTATGAGATTTGCAGATTTTAATATATTGTTTACAATTTATTGTTTATTTTTATTTATTGAGCTAAAATCAAAAAAAAAAAAAAAAGTAATAATTGATTATATCAATAAACAGTTACCGCTTTTTTTTTTAAAATTTTTTTTTTAATTTTTTTTATTTTATTTTTTTTTAATAATTTTCATTTCTTTTATATTTTTACAATAAATCCAAATATAACATATATAAAATGTACATTAAATGTAATACAAATGTAAATTATTTATTTCAAAAAACTACTAGAGCAAGTACCCAAGGTATCAGTTTATACAGAAACCAACAATCACAAATATGTTTAGCTATTGGTAAAGAAGGTAAAAAAGGTGTTACTTCATTTAAATTAGAAGAGTCTTTATCAAAAATTTATAGGTATGGTGTTGCAATACTAGTAGTATTTCGTTTTCAATATATCATCGATATTAACTGTGGTTTTTTTTTATTATTTATTTTAAAAAACCAGTGATTATGTTTCAGATGGCAAATGCACTATAGAATTAAAATTGGCAGGTGGATCATGCACAAATATTTTAATCAGTAAAGCAAATCCAGATGAATTGTTAAATTTCTTAAGTATTTTAAATATAATAATGATAACACCGGAAAGATCATTCGAAATCGATTTAGGAAATCAAAGCAATGAAGAAGAAGAGGAAGAATAAAAACAAATAAATAATAATAATAATAATAATAATAATAATAATAATAATAATAATAATAATAATAAAATTAAAAATAAAATAAATAAGATTAGAAGTTTTATTTATTTTACAAAGATTAAATTTAATAAATAATTCTTTTTTTTTTTTTACATTAATTATTTATTATGGTGTTGTTTTAATATTATTATTATTATTGTTACAAAGTAAATTAAATATTGGCATTGTTGTTGCTTATTAAAGTGCATACTCTTCACTTTCACTTTCACTATTTGTTTCATTTGAATTATTATTACTTAGGGTATGATTGCCTATTAAATTGGTTTGGGAGGTAAAAGGTGAGTTTGATGAAGAGGATCTTAAAAATGAATTTGATATCTTTGAGGTTGAAACCTTAGGTACACCATGTCTCCATTCTTCTATTGAACCATATTTAAAATTATCTGGACTTTTGCTTAGAAGGTTTGGATGAATAGTTTCATCATTATTATTATTATTACTATTTAAATCATTATTACTATGGTTTTTATTTTTTTTACTATTTATTGATAATGTTTCAAAACTACTTTGAACATTTATATTTTCATTTATTGGTTGGGAAGATACAGCTTTCCATTTACCTTGATCATATTCTAATGTCCATTCAGATCTTTGAGCTTTTATTTTGGGCGATGATTCAATTAATAAAACTATAGCATTTTGAATTTCTGATAACCATTGGGATCTAACTTGTTGGCTTTCACAAACAAATAAATGTGTTTTAATGGGACTAACTAAATAAAAGGAGGTGTTGTCATCCGAATTAAAGATTGTCATTGCCGAGACTAGGGGTATAATTTTATCGACTTTTGAGATGGCACCGTGTTGCCCAATAGGAAGTGAAATTGAACTAACTGTAATTAATATATCGTTGCAAAGGTAAACCATTCTTGATTGTAATCCATTGTCTCTAAGTGATTTTTTAAGTAGTTTACCCTCTTTGATTAGTTTCCTATGAGCTTCGACTAGATTGGGGTATGAAAGTGGTCCCAAGAACTTCATATGATGATCAAATATACTTTGAAGTTGAATGAGTTTCTTTCTATTTTGGTCCTCACTAATACCATCATTTACAACCTGTGCTACATTTTTTAATTGATTTGCTGCCAATAAACATTTCTCTTTATCGTGATGGGTTGGTTGGGTGGCGTTGTATAGTGCCTCTAATAATAATATATAACGTGGTACTCTTTGAATGGGTGCAATTAGTAGTGATGGTAAGTCTAATGATTTGCATCGTATATCTTTTTCACGGGCTTTTAGCCAATTGTTTAACTGTGGTGAATTTGCCCTAACGTTCTTTAATGTCTCTATCGAATTTGAATAGTTTTCCGAATATTGTTTGTAACACTTAAAAAAAGGACTGAGGCTGCAAAATATATCGCCCATACCCTGTGAGGGTGAATAGTTTTGTAATCTTGGGTCTATCTTTTCAAATAATATATTACTGAGTCCATATATATTTTCGATATGTGAAAAAATTGAATGAATATCTGCTTCTTTAATTGTCCATTGTTCGATTGGTTTCTTTGAAATTTCCATCAATGGTTTAAAAAATAATTCTATAACTGTACAAAGTTGTTCATTATAATATTTTTCAGTTGACCAAATTTCTTTTGAAATATCTCTTCTTTTAATTTCCAATTTAACTATAATTTATTATTATTATTATGATTTTGTTAATTTATTTGACCTAATATTATGTTTATTGAATGAAACAATATCGATATCTTACCAATTTTTGTAAATTTTTTTCTTTGTATATAGGCCGCTAATGATGCTCCAATTTGTGACCTTTCATCTTTAGTTAGATATACCATAATAATACTATAGGTTATTATTTGTTAATACACTGTATTCCAAATAAGTGTATTTGTTAAATATGGTTATTATTATTGATTGTTTTAATATTAAATTTAATGAGATGTCAAACCATCACAGGCTTATTTGGTATAAGGAAACAAAAAATAAAAAAATAAAAAAAGTAAAAAAATACAAAAATAAAAAAAAAAAAACATACCATTGATTTTTTTATTTGAAAAAAAAAAAAAAATTTAAAAAAAAAAAAAAAAAATTATTTTTATAAATATATTTTTTAAAAAAAAACTATAAATCATTCATAATTATCATTCTGATAACTTATAGTTAATCAAAAAAAACAAAAAAAAACCATCAAAAAATATAATATGATCCGATTATAATATATGTTTTATTTTAAAAAAATTATACCAATTTAATTCCATTTTTTTTTATTTTTAGAAATGTAGCGTTAAACAACTAATCTAAATTGTGTTTTTATTGGGAAAAAGGTTTGTGTTAAAAAGCGGCCAATTGTTTGATGCATTTCTTGTGGTAAATAAAAGTTTTCCAGGCTATTGCTTTCTTCCATTATTGGATCCCACAGTCAACTTTTGAACATAAAATAGGGTTTGATGGGTTTCTAGTTTCGAAAAAAAAAATTAATAAACTAAATATATTTTATTAACTATAAATATTATTTTAATAAACTTTTTTTTTTTTTTTTTATTTTGTGTAGTTTTAAAAACAAAGTTTTATAAACATATATATATAAATTTCCCACAAAAACACACCCTCTTATTGATTTTTTTTTATGGGGGTTTTTTTTTTTTTTTTTATTGGACTAAAGGATATATATTAAAAAATAATATATCAAAAAAAATAAAAAATAAAACAGAAAAAAACAAAATAAAAGTAAAAAATATACTAGTGCAAGATATAGATAGTCATTATTTAACATTTATCTATTTGATAAAAAAAATAAAAATAAAATTTTTATTATTTATTTATATAAAAAAAAAAAACATTTATTGTTCAAAATAATAAATAAATAAATAAATAAAATAAAATAAAATAAAATAAAATAAAAAAAATAATAAAATAATAAAATAATAAAATAATAATAAACAAAAAAATAAAAAAAAATTAAATAAATATAATTTAAATAATAAACAAAAAAAAAAAAAAAAAACATTTCCTTTAGAAAATTTACAAAGATCTTTGATCGAATTTTTAAACTTAGTTTTTAATAAAGTAAAAAAACAAAAACATAAAGCATCAATATTTTACAAGTAACTGCATTGTTTATACCCCAAAGAAAACAAAACAAAAAAAAAAAAAAACAAAAAAAAAAAACAAAAAATAAATGATTATTGGAAAATACAATAAAAAAATAAATAATTATTTGTATTATAATTTTATTAAGTTTATATGGTTGGATAGTAAAATAAAAAAAAAAGCAAAAATAAATGGATAATAATAATTTAAATTATTATTTAAATCATTATATCCAAAAGTTGGGATTTTTTTTTTTTTTTTTTATATTTGTAATTTATAAACTAGGTGTTATTTAGTTAATAAGTTTTTGATTTTCTTCACTTTTAATTGAAATTTTTGGTTCATTGTATTGTACTGGTTCAAATTCATGTGGATTAGTTTTTTGATAGTCAAGTAATATTTGAGAGATTTCAGTTGTGGAGGTCTTTTTAAAGGTAAAAGTGTTTTTCCTAAAAAATCTACTGTAGAATGGTTCTTTTGCGTACTTTTCATCAATTGCTTTATCAATTAAACTGTTGTACTTGATTACGCTAAATATTCTAATGGATTTAAATTGCTTGGTGGAGTCGTTTGAGAGATGGGTTAAAATATTTTTTAAGTCTATATCCGATAAATAGTTGATCCATGAGCCTATGTAAATTAGGGGCATAATAATTAAACCCATTGAACTTTGAATTAGGGTGCCTACTGAGGAGGAGACGGTGGTTGCAAATTGGACTTTAAAGGTTTGTGAATTGCACTCTATGTTGCTATATTGATTGTCTCTGTAGGAGATCCATATAACTTTTATGGCGACATAAACGGCGCCAACACAAAGGAAATAGATGGTTAGTTTTCCTTCATATTTTTTCTTTCCATCAATGAAAATTCTAGCCTCTGAAAGAATGTCTTGAATTCTCTTACGCTTATTAAATGAGAAATAGTGGCAAACTTGGAAAACTAACATAAACATTAAATATACTACAATTACAAACCCTAAAATGAGTGGACTGTACTTATCACCCTTTAAACCAAGTAATGAAATTGAAAAGTCTAATGAGTAATTTGAACCAGTGTTATATTGACTATTGATACATGTGGTGATTTCGTGATTATTGGCAAAACAATTATCTAATGACATTGATGTTGTGTTGCTATTTGCTAATGAACATTCTACAACCACCATATTTCTAAAATTTGAAAAAAATGTAATTTCTGCAACTGAAAAAATTGCTAAAGATATTAAAATTTGTAACCAAATCCTTTATTTTAAAATAAAATTAAAACTTTTATTAGTTTTTTTTAAAAAACTATTTTTATCTTTTATTTAATCTTTTTTTTTTATTTATCCTTTTTATCTTTATCATATCTATATATCTATCTATCGATCTATCTATCTATCTATCTGTCAGTCCAATCCAATAAATCATCAAACTCTATAAATAATAATGGGTTTTTTTATTGTTTATTTGTTTTTATTCTTTTAATTTTACCTTATTGGCTTAGGTTGACAAGCTTTAAGTAAGTTATTAAAATCGAATGTAAATTGATCATTCATTTTTATTATTTTATTTCAATATAAATATAAATATATTAATTTTATTTATTAATTTTATTTATTAATTTTGTTTAATAATTTTGTTTAATAACACATTTAACTGTTTTTTTTTTTTTTTTTATTTTTACTATTTTATTTTTTATTTTATTTTTTTCTATTTTTTTTTTGACATCTGAAAAATAAAAATAAAAAAATGGTTGGGGTTTTAAAAAAAAAAAAAAATTTTATTTTTATTTTTTTTTTTTTAAAATTTTATTTTTTGTGAGGTTATAATCCAAAAATTCCATTTGATTTACAAATATCTGCTTAAATTTTATTTTTATTTTTTTCGAAAAATAAAATAAACTAAAAATCAAAATACTTTTCTGCATTGGCACCTGGTATTAGTTTTTAATCTATTAATGATCATATTTATTTTATAACCTAAAAATATAAGAAACAATTTCACAATACACGAAATTTTGTGCATTGTAATAATTATTTTCTTTCTATTTTTATTATTGACATTCCATTTTATTTTTATTTATATGAAATTACACCAGATTTGATCCATTCCAAAGGGTTTTCTTTTCACATAACAAAAAATTACAGTATATAGTTTTACAAATAAAAGGAATTTTCAAATTACATTAGTTTAAAATCACCTTCGGAATATCATCAATAACCATTTTTAAAAGTAATAAAAACAATGTATTAATAAAATAGATTATTATAAAAAATAAACATTATAGTTTTTATTTTTATTTTTATTTTTTTATTTTATTTTATAAAATTTTTATTTTACTATTTTTTATTTGTTATTGAAATTAATTTGTATCTACCAGTTTTTCATCCATATCATTAGAGCTCTTATTTAAAGAATGAAGGATTATTCCACTATTTCTAAGGCTATTATTACTACTGGTTAAGCTACTATGGCTGCTATTTCTTAAACTATTATCATTATTCATATTGTTATTGTTATTATTATTTATATTATTGTTATTATTATTATTATTATTATTATTATTATTATTATTATTATTATTATTTATATTATTGTTATCATTTATCGATATATTTATTTCTTTTAAAAGCATTGTTTTAAAGTCTTCAGGGTAGTTTTGTTTGTGTGTTAAAATAATTTCAATGATTTCACTAGTACTACTTTTCCAAAAAGAAAAAGTATTGTAACGAAGAATTTTTTGAAGAGTTGTATCTTTTGGATATCTTGTTGCAAATGTCATTTTTGTAACTTGTCTATATCTATCGACATCTAAAACTGTTAATACTTTAAATTGTTTTAAAGAGTCATATGAAAGATTATGAACAATTTTCTTCATATCGATATCACCGAGATAATTTGTGCTTGTAAAAACATAAATACCAGGTAAAATTAAACAAGATATAATAGTTTGAAAGATTATACCAATAGATGTTGAAATTCCTTGATGTAATTTAAAATCAAATTTGACACCATTACAATCAATTGAGCTGTATATTGAAGATCTGTATACGATCCATGATATTTTCATTGCCAAGTAGACTCCAGTCATACATATAAAATATAAACCAAATCTTTTTTCATACTTGATGTTGCCTTCAACGAAAACTAATGATCCTGCCAAAATATCTTGAATTCTTTTTCTTTTTTGATATTGAAAGTATAGAGCTACTTGTAATAAACCCATAATACCAAAATAGATAAGTATTGAAAATGCCAAAATGGTAGAGCTAAAACGATCCTTATTGGAACCTGATAAAGGGACATTAAATTCGAGTGAATAGTTGGAGTTGGTATTATATCTTTCATTTAAGCAGTTTGTTAAAGTTAAATCTTTAGCATCTCCCCCAAAGCAATTATTCAATGAATAATCAGATGAGGTGTCATTGGATAATTTACAGCCAGTGATATCATATTTCGAATAGTTTGAAAAGAAAAAAGTGTATTCTGGGATAGTGGTTAGAACCATTGTTATTATCATATGTCCGAATATACGAGCTGGTTTAGCTTGAATTTTATTTAATAAATTATTAAAATCAAACGAAAAATTACTTTCCATTTTTAATTTTTATTTTGTTAAACCAATTAAATAATTATAACTTTATATAATATATATATTTTTTTTATTTTTATTTTTTTTTATTTGATTATTTATTTATTTATTTTGTGTATATGCAAGAATAAAAAATAATTTTGATTCTCTATTTATATTTTATTTTTTATTCTCAAAAAAAAAAAAAAATAAAAAAGTTCACATTATTTTGGGGAAAAAATAATTTAAAAAAAAATAATTTAATTATAACCTCGGGTTATGAATGTTTTAATTTTTTAAAAATTTTTCATACGACGTGGTCAAAAAAAAAAGTTATATTTTTAAATTTTAAATTAAAAATAACCTTTAACGAAATAAATAAATATTTTTTAGATCAAAAAAAAAAAAAAGTGATCTAAATATAAATTTTTTTGTTCTTTTTTTTTTATTATCAACATAAATATACATACAACACTTATGATTAATTAAATAAAATTAAACTTGAATAATTATAGTTTATTAGTTTTTAATAAATAAAGAGTATTATCTTTATACACAAATCCCAGTTAGAAAGCTAAAATATATTCAATAGTGCAGATTTATATAATTTTTTTCTTCATTAATCAGTTTTTGAACTAAATTCTCTTAAAATTGTAAGAGCTATAAAATACAGAAATTTCTTATATTTGTATTATTGATTTTTTCATTGTCCTAAAGTTTGCTTGTGTGAGGAAAATATCTGCATTTCTATTACTTTAATACATTCTTATTTTACCCAAATATTATATAGAAAAGAAATAAAGTATATAATAATAAAATAATAAGTATAAATAATTGTATTTAACGTTCAACTTGAAAAAAAAACAATTACTTATTTTTTTAGAAATAAACAAAACTATTAAGATATTTCAACTTTCCCTCGGAATTTAATTTTAACTTTTTTTTTTTTATTTATTTTTTTATTTTTTTTTTGTGTTTTTTTAAAAAAATTTTAAAGGTTTTTTTTTTATTTTTTTATTTTTTAATTTTTTAATTTTTTTTGTTTACATCATTAAACATATATATATATCAAATAGAACAGAATGGGTAGAAAAAGTCCCGCTTTAATTGTTGGCATTATTATACAATTTATTTGTATTATTGTTGCATTTTCTTCATTCTTTTTACCAATTTATCAATTAAAAGGTGTTGCTGATACTCCTATTGATGGTCTTACAGCCTCATCTATTGTTCAATTAAAATATAGATCTTACAAATGTAACATTGCAACCCCAATTTATTCCAATGCTGTAAGTACTATGCAATGTTTTTATAGTATATATTAGTTATTAAATTATTAATTTAATTTTTAAAAAAAAAAAAAAATAAAAAAAAAAATTAGACCACATTCTCATATAGTGATACTCCAGGAACTGAATGTCTTCCATTCATTTTACCAAGTCAAAGTATGGCCAAAACAAGCTTCTATATGAATGTTAGTTTAGCCACTTTAGCCATCGGTTTCATTGGTAGTGTTATTACTTTATTATTCACTTTTATTATGTCTTGTCACGGTAAGTTATATTAAGTTTAATATATAAAAAAAAACATTGTAATATATTCTAATTTATTTTTTTATTTTCAAAAATATCTATAGATTCTTGCAGAAATTGTGCTATGAAATTCTTTGCTTTCATCTTTTCATTAGTACCATTTGTATTTTATTTAGCAAGTCCACTTGTTTTAATTGCTATTACTGGTAAATTCCACTTTAAATGGGACCACGATTCATCATCAAGCCAAAGTATCGATTCAAGTGAAGCACAATTTTGTGAAAATCTCTGGTGCGATAGTTTCTATGGTTCAAAATCTGTTGATATTCCATATATTGGTGAAGGTAAAATGACCTGGGGTCCAACTTGGACTTGGGGTGCAGGTATTGTAGCTTCAGTTCTTGCTTTAGTTTCCTCTATTCTCACTCTCTGTGCATCAAACTACAGAAAACAAAGCCATCACACTGAACACCACCATTCAAGCAACTACAAATACTCCAAACTTATAAACAGAGCTTAAAATAACTCTATCAAATTAAATATTTAATCAATCAAATTGATTTTTTAAATTATCACCATTTTCAAATTAAACAATAATAATCATTGTTTTTTAAAAAAAAAATAAAAAAAAAAAAAGAAAACACTTTTGTGTTCAGATTAATTTTTCAATACCTACAATAAATAATAAATTTAAATCAAAAAAATAAAAATCCAATTATCTGATTAATATCTATTTTTTAAAAAAAAAAGTGTGTGTAATTTTAAAACTTAAACTTTAATCTCTAAAATTTTAATTTTAAATTTTTTAAAGATAAAATAAAGATAAAAGCAAAATTTAATATTAAAATTTTGGATTTTTCTTTGTCTAGTTTTATTTATTTTATTTTTTTAAAAAAAAAAATTTTTTAATTTTTTTTTACTTTTTTTTTTTTTTTTTTTTTTTTTTTTTTTTTTTATTTTTAATTTTTTTTTTTTCTTTTTATTTTTTTCTTTTTATAATTATTTTTTTTATTTTTTAATTTAAATTTTCATTAATGAAATGAAATGAATAATAATAATAAAATTTTAATTTTTGATGACCAACTGGAGGAGGAAGAAAAATTATCAGAGATTTTAAATTCTCAATTCCCTGGTGAAGTTGGTTCAATATATAATAACAATAATAATATAGAAAATAATAATAATATAGAAAATAATAATAATAATAATAATAATAATAATAATAATAATGCCAATATTATAGATTATAATAATTTAGAAAACAATAATGATAGAATAGATGTTGGTGATAATGAAAATAGAATTTACAAAAGTCATAGTATCAGTAATGAAGATTTAATAGAAAATATAGAGAACCTTAGTATAGATGAAATTAGTAGTATGGGTGATATTGATGATAAAGAAATTAATTTCAACGAAACTCATGACCAAGAAAATGAAGAGAAGGAAGAGGAAGAAGAAGAAGAAGAAGAAGAAGAAGAGGAAGAAGAAATAATAGAACAAGAGCAAGAACAAGAACAAGAAATAATAGAACAAGTGCAAGAACAAGAAAAAGAAATAATAGAAATAATGGAAAAAGAAATAATAGAACAAGAACAAGAACAAGAACAAGAGCAAGAACAAGAACAAGAACAAGAACAAGAAAAAGAAAAAGAAAAAGAGGAAAAAATAGACTCAATAAATTTAAAAGAACTAAATAATAGTAAAGTGGAACAAGAAATTGGTGAAAAAGAATGTGAAAACCAAATAAATAAAGAAACCACTATCTATGAACCAATTGGCGGTTCCAATGAAAAAGCTGTAATGAATGGGAAATCATATCGATTATGATAGCAATAATAATGAGGGTAATATCAAAGAAAAT